GGATTCTTTGGTCTTTAGTGTGTGGACAGATTTCCTGTACTCTCTTGGCTAGGACTCTCTGGGTGACTGTTATAAAATAATTCTATAAACTATTTATCCTGTGTTGCTACCCTTTCAAAACCCTGACTACAGCATGCAATGTATTAACTATTGTTACTTTCCTACAGTCTTGTTTTGAAATTTTATATCATTGTTTTTTTCTTTTTTTTAAATTTTCTTTAAAAAAATTAAAAATTTGTTTTGAGACAGACCTGGCCTTGAGTTCACTGTGTAACCCGGGTTGGCCCCAGACTTGCAGTGATCCTCCTGATTCTGCCTCCTGAGTGCTGGGATTACAGGTGTGCACCCCCATGCCCGTCTCTGTGGCGGCTCAGCACGCTTGGGGGCAGGACTGGTGCATATTCTTTGAATCTTAAAACTCACAACCATTGGAGACTACCTGCCAACAGAATTTTATGGTTATATGGTTATCTATTGAGTGTGGGAAAAATTCAGTTTTAAGTTCAGTAATAGCTTGGTTCACAAATACTTCTGTTTGAAACAATTTGGATCAGAGAAGTGTTTAACAAAATTTTGCTTCTTTTTACAAACTCGTATCAGGTGACAAATACAACCACTGCCCTCTTCCCCACACAAACACAAATGCAGCCATCTTCCCCACATTAGGCTTGTAAACCAAGGTACTGCTATATATTAAGCTTTGCGCGCGCGCACACACACACACACACACACACACATTTTGTCCCTTTGAAGGAGTTTGGATTGCTGGAAATTGATTTAGGATACAGTAAGAGAAACTTGAAAATGTGCTTTGTTCTTAGCTCACTGTGATAGAAAGTCTGCGCTCTTGTGATATGGGGGATCGAACTCAGGGTGAATGCGAGGTGGGTAAAATACTTGACCTCTGAACTGTACCTCCAGCTCTCTCTGATTTTCAGTCAGGATTTCACTACATTGTCCAGACTGGTCTGGAACTTTTGCTCCTCCTGCTTTAGCCTTCTCATTAGCTGAGTTGATAGATGTGCAGTACTGCATTGCTATCTCTCTTTTTTGCAGCAAAGTTGGTAAGTTTGCAGTAAGACCAAGAGAACTGGGGGTTGTGGTATGTGCCTGTGATTCCAGCAGTGTGATAAGCTAAGGCAGGAGGATCACAATTTTTTTTTTTTTTTTCCATTTATGTATTTGGTACAGGGTCTCACTACACAGTTCATAGTGATCCTCCTGATTTCAGCCTCACCAGTGCTAGAATTACAGGCCTGCGCCACCATGCCCAGACTAAGATCACAAATTGGAGCTCAACCTGGGCAATTTAGTGACTTAAAGAGCCCTTGTCTAAAAATTAAACAAAAGGGATGGAAATGTGACTCAGAGGTTCTGGGTTCAATTCCCAAAATAAGAGAAACAAAAACTGCTTGTCACCCAGTGGGAGGGATTTTCTCAGTCTGCAGCATCTGAGTTCAAGGACACTTGGGAAGTCTTTGTCTTTTTCCTTTCTCTTCTTTCCCATCCCTCCTCTCTGTGTAATCCAGGCTGGATTTGAACTATGTGTTTTAGCCTAGGCTGGCCTCAAGCTTGTGAAAGCATTGTCTCAGCCTCCTGGAATACTGGGATAACAGGTGTGCACCACCATTCCTGGCAGCACGATTTTGTATTGCTTTACAGCTTCTACTCTTTTATCTTTCTGTTTTAGAAACACAGTTTTAAATAAAGAAAGAACCTTTTTAATTTGTCTTCTGAATCTCATAAGACTAGCTCAAGAACTTTGGGTCAGTTCTACTAATTATTCAGGCTGTTCTGTGGAAAGCATTTGCTTGTCCACACCTTGATGGATCATCATGGAACTCGGCAAGCGGAGATTGTGACTGTCCTGGCCAGGAGTGCTGGTGGGGGTGGGAAGGGCTGTTGGGGAATGAGATGGGCTTCACTGGGATTCTTGGAAGGAAGGAACTGAACAAAAGGACAGAAGAATACTTTGTCATTTTGTTAAGAGAGTATGAAATTCTGTTTTAAGCAGTCATGTAAATCTAATGAAATGAACTGAGAGGGGCAGGCATTGAGTGAGGCTCTCCTACATTGGTTATTGCTAACTGCAGTCCAGGTTTATCTGATTAGGTGAAGGAGGCAAAATTTTTGTAAACTTGTTTGTATGAATTACAGGAAGATGAATGTTCCACAGGCCTCGCCTGCTGTTATTCTTCAGGCATGTAGGTAGATAGTGTGAAGCTCTTGGATCTTTCTCGTAGTTTCCCATTGGTGATGTGCAGCTTTAAGCCACAGGCACATTGGAACCTTGCTGTGGGGTCATTCTTAGGTGTGGAGAAAAGCGGCACTGATGTGCTGCTCTGGTCAGTGCACACCTCGAGAACTTCTGTAGCGTTCCGAAGGGACTTAGTGAAACTTCTCTTTTCCCGGCCATTGGCATGATGCCCTTTCTTGAAGATTGATGAAGCACGAGGCATCCATCATAGTGGCATGTCCCAAACAAAACATCTATTCACCACTTTCCATCTGCTTTGCCCATCAGTGGCATTTGGGAAGGTCAGATTCAGAGAACAGAGGGTCCACGGTCTGTAGGTTCTGCAGGTTCTGCAGGAATCCGGATATTGCTGAAAGTTGAAGATCTTTTTTTTTTTTTTTTCTTTTGGTACCGGGGATTGAACTCAGGATCTTGTGCCTGCCAGGTAGGCACTTATACCCCTGAGCTGTATCTTCAGCCCTAAGTCTGGGATCTAATGTATTGCAGCCATCACCTTGTAAGGTTCAGTGAGTTCATTGTTCCTTGTCAATCTTCCTTTCATGACCACCCTCTAAGGAGGCCCTGTAGACACCATGTGATGCATTTGTGAGTTCAGGTCATTCAAGACTAGGACAGATTTTCAGTGTAGAGATTGGGGCAATAGGTAGTTTGCAGGCTAGAATGTTCAACAAGGTCAGTGTTCGCTTGTTCTCCCTATGATTGTCTTAAACCTGGCAAAACTTAAGCTGTTGTAGCAGAGAAGAGAACATTTTTATTCTTGTAGTGTTTTCTTTCAGTGTAGGTATAATTTACATATGATAAGATGTGCTCATTTGAGGGTGTAGCTCTATGTGAACCAATGCCTAGTGCCCTGGAGCTACTGCCATAATCAGGATTTGGAGCTGTGGTCCCTGCTTAGAAATTACTGATCATTTCGCTGTTCCTGTAGTTCTGTCGCAGACTTCTAAATGGAGCATCCAGTGTGGCCTTTGAGCCTAGCTGATTTCCCCGACACAGTACGCTGAGGTTTGTTTGTTCTGTGTCCCATCTGCGGTTTGCATCTTGTTGGCCAAGGAGTTTTTCATTGTCTGGCTGCAGCGTTTTGTTTAGCTTTCCCAAGCAGGACATTTGGGTTGTTTCTGGCATGGAACCTTTGAAGTGAGTGTCTCATGAGTATGAGAAGTCTCTGGGGTACCTGGGCTTTTTAGGACCACTTAGGGATCCAAGATCCTTCCATCCAATTGCCCTGCAGTCTGCTGGTTGTCATTATCCATATAAAGAAAAGCTAAGAATTAGGCATGTTTGTTGTGCTCGGAAGGAGATAAAAGAGGAACTTAACCCGCAGTAAGGCAGGAATTCCACATTTCACTCTTGTTCCTGTTTCATCTAACGGGACTCAAGTCACATGTCTGTAGCTAGCTGTGGGTAGGCAGGGGAACTCCTAACCAGGAACGTGTTTCTAAGAATGAAAGACAGTTTGTGGGTGATTAATATAATGTGTCAGTAAAAGCTTCTCTTAGCAAAGAACTAAATGGTAAACATCACTGGCCAGAGTACTGGATTCCTTACTAGTGGTAGCCTTCAGGCCCTGGTCCTTTTTTCTGCTAGGTGCCCTTGTCTTCTCTTCTTGGCTGCTGACCTCACCCTTGGGGAGATCTCCCTTGTCTGCTTCCCTCCTTGTCACCTGTCAAGCTGCTGTTGCAGGTATGCCTGCAGTGAATTTGTTGTCATCTTTTTTTTTTTTTTTTTTTTGTACTGGGCATCAAACTCAGGGTCTTCTGCTTGCCAGACAGGCGCTTGTGTCATTGAGCTATATCCCAGCTCCTGCAGTTGATTTGTACACTTTTAGTAGCCTGTGCCTTTCCACGTGGTTTCAGGAGTCTGGGCATTACATTCAGAAATGAATAATTACAAGTGTAAGTTAGTTTTTAGACTTCTTTGGAGTGTGAATTTCTAGCAAAGCTTAGAGATCTTCTGGTTTCATTGTTTCTAGTTAATACCCCATTTGGATCATGATGTATCTTACTTCAGTTTTTCTTTACCTGATTTTGAAGACTTCTAAAGCCATGGGTTTGGGTGGGAAGGAAGTGCTTTGGTTTGATTTATTGACAAGACTGTTTATCTCCTTTTGTCCTGAGAAGTCTCAGTAGAAGGCTTATTTCTGGTTGTTTGGAGCTAGAGATGGTTAGCTTCTTCATCTGCCTTACTAAGGGCTGTATGGTGTTGACAATGTGACTTTGAGAAATGGAGGCAGCTTGGTATATAGACTATGCACCATATTATTGGTCTCATTGAACCGAATGTGTCTCATCCATTATGACCCATGCCATCATCTTTGTACTGCTGAGAAAGGAAAACGCTTCTAATTAAACTATGACGTGCATTGGTTGTAAGATGTATTCCAGCTTCAGTATTATTAACATGGGAAAAGATGTGAATGGAGCTTGAATTGGTGAGATACAAGTCAGATTTAAAGGCAGACCACTCCTGTGAGTCACTGTTATGTTTCAGTTGCCTTTCTCTCTGAAATTGGAATGTCTGTGACAATGACCTGATTTTCCTGTGGATGGGTACAGTTAGGAAGAGCGTAGGGGAGCACCTCTGTGCTTCCCTGTCCTGATCCACCCTGATTGATTGTGGTCTATTTGTTGTGGTCAGGAAGTACTCAGTGAATGAATGAACGGATGAGTGAATGAAGAGTAGAAATAATGAAGTGGCTAGCTCAACACATGTTTACTTTTTTTTCCTTTTATTTTATTTGTAGAAAGAAAGAACTCTCTGCCACCAAGAAAGACCGCGTGAATCATTGTCTAACCATCTGTGAAAATATAGTGGCACAGTCTCTCAGGTAACCAAACTGTGAATCTCTAATAGGAAATAAAAACTGCATTTTCCATCATAATGGGTTAAAACGTCCTTTGTGTCTCTGAGATTTTATTTAAAATAGAGATCCTTCATATTTCTGGCTATGTATATATAACCATAAGTAATGTTTCTATTTTGTAATCTTACTAATTATAGCCATTATAATCATTGAACAGTGTATTTATACTTAATTAGCACTCTTGATAGTCTCTTACTGAAAAATTATCTTTGGTTTGTTATTTTTACATTTGTTACAGAAATACGAACAGCCTGAGACTGTGTGGTTGATAGTCTTTGGTTTGCATGTTCCAGGCAGGGGACTGCTGGCGGCGCCCTGGGTGATGTGCGTGCCCTGAGCAGTGGCGAGGGGGCAGGCTCCCTGTCTGAGCTTTCTCGCCAGGTGAACCAGTGGCGCCTTCTTGCACAGTGTCTTTGCCAACCTCATTTTCGTTGCCTTTTGTCCGGCCCCGTTCCTCCCAGCAGGGGACAGGCCATGTTTTTAGGCCTGTTGCCAGCGGTGGGACAGGAGAATCTGCACTTGCAGTTTCTGAAAGTGCTCTCCTAACAACTTTTCTGTCCCTTGAAATAAGTAATTCATGGTATTTTCCTGCTGGAGTCCTGTCAAGAACACGTCATACAAGGGCCTGAGTTCAATCCCCGGTTCCACCAAAAAAAAAAAAAAAAAAAAGAACACGTCATAATCTAGTGTGGTGGCCCATGCCTAGCATGTGGGAAGCTGAGGCAGGAGGACTACTGAGCTTGAGGCCAGCCTGGGCAGAGCGGTGAGCTCAAGGCCGTCCTGCATGACAAAATGAGGCCCTATCTCAAAAAAAGAAAAAAGATTCTTGATTTCATTACTAGCCCACACTTGTGATTCACTTGTGTTTAAAGATATTTGAATTTGCTTTTCTTTCTTTTTGAGATAGGGTCTTTTTTTTTTTTAGTACCAGGAATCAAACTCGGGTCCTTACACTTGCCAGGCAGGCCCTGTACTGCTGAGCTGCATCCCTGGCCTGAGAGACGGTCTTGCCATGTAGCTCAGACTGGCCCTGAACTCTGTGTACCTCAGGCTGACCTCAGACTCATGTCAGCTCCCCTGGTCAGCCTCCTGCGTGCTGGTACTGCAGGTGTGCACCACCACGCCTGTTCTTTTAAATTAAACATTCAACATAAAATATACTTTTAAACTAATTTTAAGTGCATGATTCTTTACATTCATAATGTCACATAGTCATCACCATCATCTGTCTCCACAGCTCTTTTCATTTTGCAAAAGTGAAACACTGTGCAGATTAGACAGCAGCTCCTCCGCTGTCTAATCAATTGAAGGTTGATTTGTGATGTTTGCTATCTTAAGTCATATAATAGCCATTAATAGTTTTCACAGCTGAGACTACCCGGGCTCAATATGAATGTCTCGGGATGAAAAACATTTCCACATTAGATTATATTTTATAGAGAAAATTATTATCTTTTTATAGAGTAATGCTGAGGATTGATTATACTGTTGTTGCACAGAGGAGCATGTTAACAGGAAGCTTTGGGACCCAGTCCTAGGTCTGTTTCATCAGATCAAGAATCAATCTGCTTGCAGACTACATTTTAGGTCATAAAGCCAGCCTTAATAAATACAAAAAGTTGAAATAACTTCATGTATCCTATCCCATCATAGTGAAGCTGTAATCAAAAGCAGTAATCCCACAGACTGCACAAACACACAGTGATTACTATACATTTTTTTATTGAGAAATAAATATGAATGAAATAGTTTCAAAGCTGATTAATAGGACAGTTTCGATAATCAATACATTGTACATTGTTATCTTCTTAGTGGTTATCCATAGTACAAGAAGCAGACAGGATATCTTGTCCAAACACTATTAGTACACCTCTTCTCATTGAAATAAGCGAAAGTAGCTGTATATCTATCCTATTTTGTATGTATAAATACAAAATGATCTTTCCTTTATATCCCCTTTAAAATTTTTTTTTTTTTGTCCTGTCAGAGATGGATATTCTTTTGGCATCTAAATACTCTAGGTGTTTGAATTCAGCTAAACAATCCAACACTGTCTAGCAGTCTATAATATTAGTGGGTTATCCTCAGAAGTTGTTGACTTGAGCCTTTTACAGCTCATGGTATTAAGATGGCTTTACTTTATATACCTCGTTTTTATACTTTTCTGCTGGATGTTAAGACCAAGATAAAGCAAGACCTATATAGCAAGAATGTAACTTCTATATCTGATAAGGTCAGTCAAGTACTCTCAGGATTTAGCCTGTGGCCCTGTACCGTACTTTATAGATCCTTTGTCAGTGTCAGCCATGAGGATGAGTCACGGCCATTGCTTGACCAATTTGTTCTCTGTGAAAGCCTGAGAGAATGTTTTTTCTCTCCATGTGACTCTCCCCAGGCACACTATACATCGTCTATCACATTCCTCTGTGTCTCCATAATCTTCTTTTTTTCGCATAATCTTCTTGATCAGAAAATTTGGAGCACAACTGAGTTACATGTTGTTATAGTACAGGTTCTCCTATGTCCTGAGTCTTCACTGACCTTGAAAGGCTAGGGCTAAAATGTTGGCTGACCTTGTAGCCCTTCCTTTTCTCCAATTTTGAACTGCTAACTTAGGTTGCTAACCTCCAGAAGAGAAGCTAATTATTAACCTGCAATATATGCAGTTCAGTTTACCCTATCTGTCTAAATACCAAACATCTTTGGCATATCATGGAACAGCTATTTTCCATCAAATATTGATATATTGAACTTTAAGTCCTTACAGAATATGAAGGAAAAATAATTTTATAAAAGTAGAAATAAGCATTTACATATTTTTGCAAAGAAATTTAGAAATCTAATCATATACAGAATTTAACAGGAGAGACCTATGACATTTTTTTCTTCCATATTCTTGTCTTTTTTTTTTTTTTTCCAATTATTACCCTTTAAAAAAAAACAAAGCCTTTACTTGAGGGGCATTATGGCAATAAATGGTATGTCATGACAAGAAGTACATATTTAAAAGACCAGGATGGCAGGCACTGCAAGCGTGATCCCTCTATTACACATCGCCATCCTCAGTGTAGCCGCCTGGCTTACGGGCACCAGCATATACAGTTAGTCAGGGTGAGAATCTCACCAGCCAACCGCTAGTCTCAAAAACCTGCTGATGTTCCCCAGGATCACTGCCCCACCCATCTCATGTGTACAAATGCATGGCGTTGCCCCTGTCATGTTTCCCAGCTTTTCTCTTTGCCTACTCCTCATTGTCCAGTCCTCAAGTTCTTGTTTTCCTTTTTTTTATGTTGTAACTTTTCTACATGTAATTCCTCTTTTAAGTTCTTATACTAGGGAAACAATACGATATTTACACATGTGGGTCTGGTTTATTTCACTTAAAGTATATTTTCAAGTGGCATCCACTTAAATATGAAGGCTTCGAGTTTATCATTCTTTTCTTTTTTTTCTTTTTTTGAGTTTATCATTCGTTATAGCTGAGTAATACTCCATTACATAAAAGTACCACATCTTTTTCAACCACAGGTGGATGTGATGGCATCTTGGTTGTTTCCAAGATCTGGCTATCACAAATTGTGCTGCTATAAACATAGGTACTCATATATCAATATGATATGATGCTTTCAGTTCCTCCGGAAAAATTCCCAGTAGGGGGATAGCAGGCTTGAATGAGATTTCTAGTCCTAGTCTTTTAAGGAGTCTGCACACTGATTTCCATAATGGTTGCACCAGTCTATGCTCCCACCAACAGTGGAGGAGGGTTCCCTTTTCCCCACAGCCTCTCCAACATAAGTTGGTTGATTTCTTTTTTTTCTTTTTAATTTTTTTTAAATTTTAT